AATTTTAAGAAATCTTATAAAAACTTTTGAAAAATAAAATAAACAGGCAAATTTGTCTGCTAGACGGTTTAAGGGATAAGGTCTTTGAAGTAAAGAAAATTATTTAGTGTTTAAAGTAAGTATAATATTGTGTTTATTTTTAAGATGAGTATTGAGAACACTAGTAGTTGTAGTTAGACCATATTGCTATTTGCATTTTTTATATTTTCTTGCAATAATTTTGTCTTCTTTAATTTCTTTATCAAAATACTCCCATATAGGTGATTTTCTAATATGTCTATTATTATTTGTAGTAATATTAGTAGTCTTAATTTCTATACCTTCTATATTTTTTATATTATCTATATCATCTGTATCTTCATTATCTATATTAATTGCCTCATCTATATCTTCCATTTCTATATCTATATTAGTTATATTTTTTGGATCATTTATATCTTCTATGTTATTGAGTTCATTTTCTCCATAAGCACTATAATCAAATTCATTAGCATTAAACATTCTATGTTTAATATATTTAAAATTTAAAATTATTTTATATTTATTATTATATAGTTCTTAATAAGACTTTGTATTTAATAAGAAATATAATAGTAATTGATAGCAGACCTTATAAAAAAATAAAAAATAATAATCAAGTTAGTAAAATAAAAGTAAAATAACTATTCTAGAATCATTAACAAAATTTTTGATCATTTAATGATTTACAAAAAATTAACCAATAAAAGGGGTTCGTTAAAACCAGATGCATTTGGTATAAATTTAAAAATAATCTACATATTGTATAAATTATTTTTTTGATATTTACATAAACCACTAACTATTAATATATCAAAAATGTAACCCTAATTAGATTAAAAAAGTAATTCTAATGCATCTGGTTTTAATGTTCCCTAATAAAATCTTAATTAGAAAATATACTAATACAATATACATGTGACTAAATCTATATATTCTAACATTAAATCTAACTATAATACTAACTATACTGTATCAATTAGCCATTTTGTTATACATTAAATCATATATAGTATATACTGTATTAGTATATTTTTCCATCTTAATTTGATATAATATCACATGGACAAAAAATTTTAAAACAAACATCCCAATCCTTTATATATTAACAAAAAATTTCATCAAATAATTTTACTATATCCCCTTAATATCTAACTTTAATTTAAACACTTACCCTAATATAAATGAACTTGGCCAATTTTATTAACTATCACGTGATCAAAAATTGTTGACAATACTGGAGAAATGAATATATTACGTGATAATACAATTAACCAGAATTATGATCAAGATTATCTATTGGGCAGCATTACAAGGATCAGATATAATAGGTACTATAATCATGATAATTAAATTAGAGTTTGTTAAAATAGAGTATAAGGAAGTGTAAATGTATTATATGTAGTATATTAATATTTAATGTTGTACAAAGAAATATAACAAAATTAATATAAATAGAGAAAATAAATAAAAATGATAGTTAGTCTTTAAATGAAATAATAATGATAATGACATAAAGTATTATACTTGCCTGTGTAAGTGTTGGTGTAGAAGTGACTATAAGCCAAGTGAGACCTTGAAGTACTATATACTATTTAAGAGAGATAACAGTAATCTTGGTTACTGTCTAACTATAATATTTATTGTTTTTTTTTTGCTTTTTGATTATATTTATTTTTTTTGGCTTTAAATTTTATTTAATAAGTTTTTATATTTTTTTAAATCATAGATCTATTTTTTTAAATATATACGTACAAAATCATACAGTACATACAATTATATACTATGGGTTTATGATATTCTGGATTTATTTTAAAGATGCCTTTTTTAATTTCATATTGATACCATATGGGCCAATACAATTATCTGATAGACAGCTTACTAATTAACTATATCATTTTTGAGCGAAAGATTTATTTTTAATACTACACAACAATGACAAATAGCAGGTTCAGGGTAATAATTAGATGATAATCTAATGGGTTTAATGAGTTTGATGCATATTTATTAAATTCTTCATGCAGAATGGACCCTCAATAAATAAAAACAATCATTTTAATCATTTGTTAGGCCAATCAAAAAAATTAAATAAAGGGTGTAAACTAAATTTAGTGACTCTATATGGGACCCAATTGCAACAAATTAGTCTATACGCATAATAATAAATCATTCTATTTTTAGCTGATTTTTTGATTTAAAATTATCAAGAACAATTCTAACAGAACTTTATATCACTGCTTTTAATAGTAAATTACTGTATTCGATATGGCAAAAAAAAAATTATTCGATTATGGTACAATAATTCAAAAATTGGCAAATAAAAATAAAACTATCGATGATTGTATAATAGGGTTTATTTTAATAAATTGCTTTTAAGATATGATTAATGTAGATATGAATTTAAGTAATATAATTATTAATTAAATATTTTCATCATTAAAAACACTTTTGATGCTAGAGACTATTAGTAATCAAAATTTGATCTCAACTTTTGATTCATGTAATATTTAAGTAATTTTTAGTTAATAACTCAGCTAATTATTAATAATTATTATTAATTATTAATAATGTGAAAGGTTTTATCACTACTACTGGTTCAAATAATTGTTTGTGTTAAATATGATATGTATAACGAGTCACAAACTTGTTATTGTTGAGATTATTGTTGCTTACAAGTTAGGTCCAATAAGAGAAGATTGGACATAATAAAGAAAAAAGGTAAAATATAGTTATAATAATAATATAAAAATACTGTATATATAAAGGATTATTTTTTGCACTAATAAGGCTTTGATGTCTTGAATATAAAGATATTAAAACAAATTCCCAAGTGTTGTGTAATTTTTTAAAACTGCTTACATGATATATCGATACTGCTTTATTACTTTTGATTTTTGTTGTTATTCTTAATTACATGTGTCTCATAAATTACTTGCTGCTTAATTGTAATCTGATCTATTTAAGTGGTCTAAGAGTGCTCTCAAGCATCTAAATCAATAAGTCTGAGTTCAATTTTTAATTAGTAGAAAATAAATTATTTGGTTAAGCGAGTTTATTATCGTGATAAAAAAAAAGATGCCCAAAAGACTAACTTTTTTTATTATAAAGTTGAGCTAGTTGGCTAAAATTTAATATCCACATTCGCAACATGAATTCTCGACAAAATTTTTATTTTATTTTTTTTTTTCCACTTTGGCAGATCGCGCCAGTAACTTTTATTTAACAAGCGTATATCAAGATGGAGAATACATAGCATTAAAGTTGAAGTTCTGATATTCTGCGGTTGTCTTGCATAACCTAATCAATTACCTACACGCACCTACAGGTGACTATGCCGCATCGGCAAGATATAACTATAAAGATAATACCCAAACCAGGGGCTCGTTTGACCACTGCCCTACAATAGAATGTTGCCAATCTAATAATATCTTCTTGTAGGGAAGTGAAAGAAAAAGAAAAATTTTATAAAAGAAATACAGAAGTATAGAGGAGAACGTAAAAAAAAAACAAATAAAAGAAATAAAGAGGGTAAATGAATTACGAGAAAAAATAAACTAAAAAGAAGATAAACAGTCACAATTATAAGCCTGTATCAGGCTCTTTAAAAATTACATACTACTATTTAAACTATTCTCTACACTAATTTATATAAATAGTATGTCTAAGCTAAAAATCTAAAAAAAAAGTAAAAAAAAAAGTGAAAGCTTCTTCAACATCGGTACCGTAGAGAAGTCAGAATGTTACATTAAGAGGCTCGAAGTACTGTTTGTCTAAGTCACCAATTTCGAGACACAGAATTATATACCCACTACTAAGTATTTCTTCACATGTTTGTTGTGACAAGTAAATGCAAGTAAACAATACTGCCCGATTTGGAAAATAAACAATATATCGATCTTTTGGAGAGTGTAAACTGAAATGCCCACTTTTTACAAAATTTCCTCGAAAAAAAAGTGGGGGCCAACGAGAGTATGTGAAGTTCTTTTGTAAGTTTTATAGTCGTATAGTTGATTCCAAAACTATTACTATTACAGCGAGGGCCTTTCCACTACTTGCTTCTAGAATAAACCTTCTAGTTTAGATGCCGAATAATTTGAGGAGTCTGCTGAACTAGACAAAAGCTTGATCTCAAGAAAAACCGTACAAGATACGCTTGCTCCTCGGTATTTCACGTCTCTCAACTTCGTCGACAGCAACCTGTTCAAAGGTAAGTTCAGTTTCCAGAATAAACCTTCTGGTTTGGATGCCAAATATCTTGAGGAGTCTGACAAATTAACAAAAACTTGACCCAAGAAAAACCACCCACAATACACCTGCTTCTTGGTGTTTCACATCTATAGGCTTTGTTGACAACTGTTTACTCAAAGACAGAACCGTAATAGTAATTTTTTTGAAACTTTCTATAGCATTTTTTTGTAGTTCAAATTTTTTGTTGTGTTGTCCAGAGGATTGTTAGAAAGAGTTGCTATGAATCACCAATTGAATTCTTGACAAAATTACCATAGGGTTTACTTTAATTATTCATAGTACTTGTGCATGATCTCATTACTCATAGTACTTGTGCACGATCTCATTATTTATAGTACTTGTGCACGATCTCTATAGTTAGCTAATTACACTAAGGAAGATGTTTTGAGAGCACTCTAAATTCTCATAATGGCTCTTTCAAACAACAAACATTGTAATAAGTATTATTATATAACAATAGAAACATTAAAAAAATTTATATATAAAGTTATTTTTCAGAATACATTTGAGGAAATTTCTAAGTATATTAATTTAGAAGAAAAAGATATTTGCATAGTTTGTCAAGATATAATTAATCCAACTCTTCAAGAATTAATTACAATTTTAACATGCTGGCATTTTTTCACAAAAAATGTATAAGCCATTGGGTTGTTAATTTAAAACTTTTTTGTTTTAATTGTTGAAATGAGGCAGATACTAAAAACAAGACCGTTAAAAATTTAATAAATACCAAAATGAATATAGATAATGATGAAAACTTTGATACTAACACGATAATACCTAATACGCTTATGCCATCTATAACATCTATTATGACTATAGTATCTACAGCATCTACTACATCTACTATACCTATACCTTTAGCACTTACTACATTTCTAGCATCTACTTCTACTACATCTTTAGTATCTGCTATATCTATGGTACCTGCTATATCATCTTTTACTAAATCTACATCTATTGAATCTATGTATGTTGAACCTATATATGTTGAATCTATACATAATGAATTTACATATACTGAATCTATCATATTGGTAGCATCTACTTCGTTGGTTTCAACTGTAATAAGAAAAGATAAAAATTTTCAAGGAATCTTCAAGCAATTAAAAACTCCTGTTGATGATATATCCGAAGTTATTAGTAGTAGTAAAGATACAAGTATTGTTGAAAAAAATGATACAATATCAGGTTTGGTTTTACTATATAATAAAGCAAATCATAATAAAGAACATGCAACATATGCAAACCAAGCTGAAATATTATCCTGGTATCATTATGCTGAAGAGTTTGAAAAACAAGTAAAAAAAATATTAAATAATACTAGAGTATCTATAAACAAGGCAAAATTAAAAGTCTATAGAGAACTTTTAACCTATCTTGTAGATGTAGATTTACAAACTTTACAAAAAAGAACACAAAGAGCAAATACTGTGTATAATTTATTTAAAAAAATTGGGGTTGACAAAATTTGATGAATTAAATCATACGGTTTTTATTCAATTGCAGACCTTACTATACCTCAAATTAAAGCAATCAAAAATTATTTTTTGTTATAACAGAATTGATACATATTGAAATAATTTTTCAGATTATAATATAAGCTTTTTGTAACCTTATAGTGTAGTCACAGGGTAAATCAAGTTTCACAGATTAACTTTCTTAAAAAATAGGTTTCACAAAATTAAAACTAATAATTAACTATTAACAAGGTTTGTGTTGGAGAGGATACAGTTGCAGTAAGTAGTAAAAATAATTTATAAAATATGTTTGGGTATTATGATGTTGGTAAGAGTGGTAACAGTAAAAAGTTTAAATAATATTATAGAACAGAGTGAAGAAATAGTGAATTCGTATTGTTAAATAGGGTAGAATGAAATTTGTGGGTTATTATGTTTTTTATTTGTATAAAAGCGGGCTTCATATTTATATAATATTTATAGAGATTTTATATATATTTCAAAATTTTATCAGATACTACCCTATAGTTTCGAAAATAAGTAACCTTGGTTTGCACTATACTAATTTCGGCTTGTATCGTAATTATTTTGACCAGCATTATATCCAAAAAAAGGTGTTTATTTTTGGAACTAATAGCTATACAGTATTAATATGTACATATGTATAGAAAACAAGATTTTGATAATTAAAAAACAAAATTTGATGCATAAGTCTCAGATAAAATAGGTAATAATCATATGATAAGTTTTTTTATAAATATAACAGTAGTTCATAGCAAAGTAAATGAAGCGCTAGGATTAAAATCAAGATTCCGGATAAAGAAATAGATAAAGATCAAGATCTAGAGAACTACTATATAAAACGCTTTCAAATCTGTATTATTTTTTCTCTTTTTTTAGCTATTTTTTTGCTAAAACTAATTTGATTATTTTATTTATTTTATTCTTAATAGAAGTATTCACCGTTCCTGATTCTCCATATGAGTATATAGAAATCATTTTCTATATTTTTTTGAAAAACATCTGTAAAATAATAACTGGTTGATCATGAAATTCTAAATTATCAAATGGGTTATCTTGAATTTTTCATCTCGACTCAATGTCTATATGATAAATTCGAAGTTGTTAAGTGATAAATTCGAATTTGTCATCTCGACTCAATATCTACATGACAAATTCGAACTTATTATATAACAAATTCGAATTTGTCATATTGATGTTAAGTCGAGATGACAAATTCGAACTTATCATGTGACAACTTCGAATTTGTCATATTGATGTTGAGTTGAGATGACAAATTCAAGGTAACCCATCTGATAATTTAAAATCTACTAAAAGTTAATTGGTATTTTAGTTGGGTTCTAGTAAGTTTGAACTTGCTAGTCTGGTTAGTAGAAATAAAGGTATTAGTACTGTTAGTGTCTGAGACACAATAAAGGAATATTGGTTTGATATTTTGGATATAAATAAAAAGACAATAGATACCTACTTTCATCTCTTTAATGCTGATGTCCCTGAGTTAAATCTATAATGATATAACAAGTCTCTCTAACTCTGAACTAACCCTTATCCTAACTTTAACTAAATAGTCAAAAATATATGATGCATAACACTTTAAAGTACCTCTCTATGTATAAGTAGAGGTAGTCCCAAATATAGCTATTATTGTTATACTGAATTTAGTAAATATTTTAATTATTGAATTGACCAGAGCAGCCCCAAAGTGCATATAAATAACCAATTAATGATAAGCCTTAAAGCTATTAATCGATACAATTGTTTATTAAGGGGTTTGAGATTTAATACTAATATCGATTATTGTTTATAAAACACAGCTGCAGCTATAGCTATGCTATTAATCTGCACTTTGAGGCCACCCTGGTTGATTCTTAATTGTTTGTTAGTAATTATTATAACACCAAATAGAAATTGTTAGTTGACTCATATTGAATGATTGCAATGCCGAGTTATTTATATCATATACTGCTTCATGTTAAATTGTTATGTATTAAATAAAAATAAATCGTAATTTATAATAAAAAAGTTATTTTCACTACAAAGTTCTATTCCAATTTGCTTATTTTTCTCGAAAACATTTAAAAAATTTTTATAAAATTACTTACTTCTATTGTTACTATGTCGTTGCAAAATACTATTATTTTATCCAAGGCCTCTAAGAGAAATCTTCGTAAAAAGAATTTGCGTATTATAAAAAAAGCAAAAATTGAAAAGCCCGTTAGTTTAATCACCAATAAGGGCAATTCCATATCCAATATTATACTTAACCAAGCTGATAAAAGAAAGAATATTTTTTATAATCCTCTAAAAGTATGTTAATATTAATCATCTTTCATTATATTTAGTTTTTTTTTTATAGTTTAGTCTTCTCAGAGGCAGTTTTTGCCTTTCAAGACAGGCCTAGGATCTGACTGTTCCCTCTTCATTGTTACTATTATTGAGGGTGTGATTGTTAAATTATGATTATCTTGTTGTGAAGAGAGGAAGACCAAACGAGCTTCCTGTTTAATGCTAAGCTACAAGATGAGAAATGGTTTAAATATATCCACCTTAAATATTTTTATTTAGCTTTATAATAAAATATATCATCTCATGAGACATTTTCTGAATATATATTCTTTAGCATAAAACTCAATCAGAAACCCGCTAGTCAACCAAAGATAAGGCTCGTGAATATATCTGTACCTAATAGATATCAGAAGACTTTTTTTTTAGTGATCCTAAATCAACTAAAATTTCACAGCCTTATATTTTGATAGATCCAAAATTTACTTTTATTAAAAAGTTTTTAGAAAGAAGGCAACAGAAACAAACTATCCAACCAATACTTATTGATAACTCTAAAATACCAACACATTATATAACTCTGCTAGAGTCTGAGACCTTTAATGAAGGCTCTTCAAATTCAACACCTGAATAGTAGAACGAGTTTGGGTTGTGGGCTAATTTTTCAAAGGTTCACAATTTTAATAAGCGATTTTGTCTTCACTGCCATCACCTCTGGTCTTATATTATATATGCTTATCAAGAAGCTCAAAAAAAATACAAAAAGAATATAATATCTCAGGAACATTTAGTCAATCATCAACAAATAAATTAGATGTAGCTAAAAAGGTCACAAAAGATGTAGCAATTGGTAATAAAATTAAAGACTATTACCATATCCTCAACCTACAATGCTTCAAAAATTCTTTTAGTAAAACTGTAGTGGATTTTTTTGACCTACCTACTACAACGATTATTGAAAATACAAGGATTATAGTAAACCAATATTATAATCACAATCTCAATAATAAAAAATATCAATCGAAAGAATTTAAAAAAGAATTAGTAGAGCATTTTGGTGGCTTCATAAGCAACAATAATGAACGCTACACAAATGCAAATACCACCTTATCTCATAATAAGGATCATTTAAAATGTGTTCAAGGATTAATACAAGGCCTTCAACCATTATCTGATATTGTTAATAGTTATATTAGAGATATATATCTGGCCTTGTATACAAAAATAAGAAAACTTGATCTTGGACCAAACGTCCCTAAATCATTTGGTGCTTTTTCCACTGTGGCAGTTAATTTTAATATTATTTTTTAGTTCCATCGAGATCTAAAAGACCACTATAATTTACTTTGTGTGGTCTGCCCACTTGGGGTATTCAAGGATAGACAATTAGTGTTTCCAGAACTTAAATTAGTTGTTCATATTAAAGAGAGTCAAAAGCAGTGGCTTTTAGGTCTAATATTTTGGTTCATAGTAATTTCCCAGTTCTTACAAGTATACATCATAGTATTGTATTTTTTATATATAGCACTATGATTAAGCAAAACAGAAAATTTGGCTTCCTTTTTAGCAATTCAGATTCAGATAATAATACAAATATATGCATGAATATTAAAAATAAAAAGCCAAATCCTTAAAGTCAGGTTCGCAATTACTAAAGATTAAAAATTCAAGACAAAGCTATCTTGGTAAATATAATTGCTATATTATAAATTATTGATAATTATTTTTCAACCCCAATTTTTTTAATCAATTTATTTAGATCTTGGGCTTGCGAAAAGAAGTTTGCCAGCAAAATATAAGATTTAATAATGGCTACTAGATATGCAAAAATAATATAATAAGATTTAAAAGACGAATATATGAAAAAATAAATTAATTTATTGTTATAATTATATCAATATATGAATATGTTAATGTATATTATATTAATAAAGAATCTATAGCCTGGAAAACTCAGCGCATATATTCACAATTATTGTTTAAATTTGAGAAATCTATATTAAAAATCTCTCTATTAAAAGCCATGTTATCAATTATGAAATATTCAATTTTTAGCAAATTACATGAATAAGGCTTGTCTGCTTTTTTATACATATATCACCCATATTCTGAACTTCTAATGAAGTTTTCATTATAATTATTCCAGTATGTTTTGTTAATTCGGTAACATTCAGGATTTGTTAGCCACTTTAACATATAAGACTAAGCACCATAATAAACAACTCTACATATATACACAATAGTGTCTTAATTGGTATAAATTAATTATTATCGTTATAGTATGATCTGTTAATTAATTATCAAGATATAATTAACTAGACCTTGATTTAATTAATTATGATTACTTATGTGTATAAGCTATTTCTATGAGTGATAGCTTATTACTTATATATTTTATTACTATAGTTTTAATACATATACCTTATTTGTGCTACTTATCGATTGTTAGTTTCATATTCACAGTATCTATGTAATTTAATTGAAATTAAAAGTCAGTATCAATAAGGTAATTAATTTATAAGGATGATATAATGAAAAGTAGTAGTAGTGAAATTTGAGAAAATAAATTAAATTATTTGTGTTGCTTATCGATCATTAATTTATTATATATATAATTTGAATTAATTAATCATAGTATCAATAAGGTAATTAATTTGTAAGGATGAGATAATTTGAAAGGAATTTGAGAAAATAAATTAAATTATTCGTGC